GTTATTCAACATCTTCTTTAAAACGTCCAGTGTTGGAGCATTCACAACTTTTGGAGGCAAGTTGTTCCACCGGTCAATTGTTCTAACTGTCAGAAAATTTCTCCTCAGTTCTGTTCCTCCTCTCCTTGATTAGTTTCTACCCATTGCTTCTTGTTCTACCCTGAGTTGCTTTGGAGAATAGCTTGACTCCCTCTTCTTTGTGGCAACCCCTGAGATATTGGAACACTGGTATCATGTCTCCCCTAGTCCTTCTTTTCATCAAACTAGACATTTGCAACCATTCTTCATATGTTTTAGCCTCCAGTCTCCTAATCATCTTTGTTGCTCTTCTTCTTTCAACTAACTTTATTCCAGCAATGCCCCAAATCCCATTGAAATCTCTAGGATGGAATTACATGTATTTGCTGGGGATCTGTCCTCTTTCCAGCTTCTGAGCATTTTCATCCAGCTGCCAGGCCATCCAACAGCCAAAGTTCCCTTGGGGCAGAGTGTCATCGACGTACAAAATGTCATCTTTTTTGAAACTCAAGTCCTGTTCAATTTCTGCTAACCGGTCGTAGAGTGCCCTGCAAGGAGAGAAAGAGGCAGAAAGACACAAAGACAGATGATCATCTATCTTTTTTAGACTGTTCCAGATGTTACGGGAGAAAAACTAAAGACCTCCTGTTCGGCAGGTATCCCAATAGGCATCTCTGACAACTTGGAGAAACGAAAGTGACCTTCAAAATACAGAAGTGTGTGATTTAGACAAAGATTTACTTTGGGCCATTTGAAGGGGGGAAAATATCATAGTTAAATTTGGTACACAAGACTTTATTGGTTTGTATTTGTAAATACCACAGTATTTTGAACATGCTCATTTTCAATTATTTTTTCAATTCAGTATTCCTACCAATGTTTCATAACTGGCATATGATAATTTTTACAGATGGAATAGAAGTAGAGTAGGGAGGAGTGGAGTGGAATGGAATAGGAATGGGAATAGGAATGGGAATAGGAATGGGAATAGAATAGAATAAGAAGTATGGCAACAAATGATAACAATGGAAATTAAATTTAAAAAAGGGATGATTAAAGCAAACAATTATAATGAAATATGGGGGAGATTTTATAAAAACATTGTTGGTGGAAGGCAAAGGGAATAAATATACTCAAGAATATATGATGTTTTGGAGGAGATAAGGGCACAATTAGAATATATTGTATACCTTTTAGTTGTTATGTGATGGCAAACCTTTTTTGGCTCACGTGTCAAAAGCGGGGGGAGAGCAGGGGGGGTCGTGCATGGGTGTGCCACACCCATAATGCTATGTGCACGACCCCAGTGCGCATGCACACACGACCAACACCCCCAATTTTTGGTGTGCTTTTTTTGCCTTCCCCAGGCTCTGGAGCCTTTATAGGAGCCTGGGAAGGGTGAAAACACCCACCCCCCCCGAGGCCTTTCAGAGGCTTCATGAGCTTCCCCAAAGCCTCCGGAGCACGAAAAACCAGCCCTACCAGCAAACTGGAAGTTCAGGAATGGACTTGCGGTTTGCTCGTAGCGCCAATTTTAGCCTTCCAGAGGCTTCCCTCAACGCTCCAGAGGGCTAAAACCAACCCACGAGCAAACCAGAAGTATGTTCCTGAACTTCCGGTTTGCCCGTAGGGCCAGTTTTTTGCACTCCGGAGGCTTCAGCCTCCGGAGGCAAAAAATGGCCTCATAAGAAGGCCAAAATCAGCCCCAACAAATGGCTCCGNCAGAATTCCCCAGCCAGCGAATGCTGGCTGGGGAATTCTGGGAGTTGAAGTCCGGACATCTTCAAGTTGCCAAGGTTGAGAAACACTGAACTAAAAGTTCAGCACTAAATTGCCATCCGGTATGGGTCAATGGAATTCAACAGGAGCTGAACTTGGGTTGTTTGTGGCAATGTAAGTACTCTAAGCTGATGACACATTTAACTCTGTCCCCTGGCTCTCCCTGTTCTTCTCCTACCTCATTTTCGTTAGGAAACCCTTCCATGCAATGGACTTACCAAGAGGACACCTGCAAAATTTCCCCGGTGATTCTTTGACCAACATATCTTTCACAGCATCAGGTAATGGTCCAAGGATAAGCACCGGTCTGGGAGATGTGCAATCTACCTTTTGGACTCGTTGATACGCCAGGCTTACAGCATCTGCAAAGAAAGAAGACACAAAAATTCAACAGCTGAACTAAAAATGCCCCCCCCCCAAAAAAAACAGGAAGCATGAAAAGGGATAATTATGAAATGGTTCAGGAAATTCTACATTATATCTTCATCAAATAATTGTACAATTGTGTTTCTAGGCTAAGGGGGGAAAAGATTTGCAGTTGAACTCTCAGCAGAAAAAAATAGCATTGTGAATCTCAAAAAGCTAGCGATCTTCTCGTCTGGCAGAATGGAATGAAATTGGAATAGAATGAGGAAGGAATGGAGAGGAGTGGAGTGGAGTAGAGTAGAGTAGAATAGACCAGAAAACAACAGAATGAACGGGACAGAATGCAGAATAGGATAGGATAGGATAGGATGCAGAATAAGAGAAGAGTGGAGTGGAGTGGAGTGGAGTAGACCAGAAAAACAACGGAACTGAACAGAATGCAGAATAGGATAGAATAAAATAGAATAGAATAGAATGCAGAATAGAATGCAGAACAGAATGCAGAATAGAGTGGAGTGGAGAGGAGTGGAGTAGAGTAGAACAGAACAGAACGGAACAAAATAGAATAGACTGCAGGATAGGATAGGATAGGACAGGACAGGATAGAATACAATGCAGAAAAAAGTGGAGTGGAGTGGAGTAGACCAGAATACAACAGAATGAACAGAACAGAATACAGAATAGGATAGGATAGGACAGGATAGAATGCAGAATAGAGCAGAGTGGAGTGGAATGGAGTACAGTAGAAGTGTTATGAAAGTGGCCAGCTGCGAAAAGAAAATTCTGCCTTATCCATTCCGCAGCCTCCTCCTGCATTTGCGAAGTGCAAAGCTTGCGTAGGAAAGTCCCACAGATGGTTCTGCCCCATTTTAAACCGACCGCGATCGCCACTTGCCGTCCAAGAAAGGAATGGAGTCCGTGCTGATGGTGTCAAGGGCCAGCAAATCTTTTCCGTCTTTGGAGCCGCTGCGCTTGTGTTTGTGTTTCCTTCTGAAGAAGGATCGACGGGCTGCAGCCGAAGATGCCTTGGAGGAGCTGTTGTCGTCTTTGGCTTCAGACATGCTGTGCCTCCTGTAGAATTCCTGCTCCATTCTACAAAGGAACGCTTGGGAGAGTCAGGCAGGAAGAGGTGGGAGGATTGGGATGGGGAAAAAAATCCTCAAGGAAACAGAGTCGATTCTAAGGAGACATGTTCCAAAGATGCTTTTTTTAGGAGGCAACTGGATTTTCTTGTTTTTTCTTTTGAAGAAATTTCACTTCTCATCCAAGAAGCTTCTTTAGCTCTGACTGGATGGTAGGGAAGGGAAGGATTGATATTCCTTGCCAAATCCTTCCTTTCCCCACCATCCAGTCAGAGCTGAAGAAGCTACTTGGATGAAAAGTGAAACGTCTTCAAAGAAAAATCAAGAAAGTTCAGCTGCCTCCTGGAAAAAAAGCACCTTTGGGTGCTTACAAATTCTACAGAATTTGTAAGAGACATCCTTCTGAATATGGGTAGCCCTCGACATACAATCACAATTGAGCCCCAAATTTTATTTTCCTAAGTGAGACGGTTGTTACGTGAATTTTGTCCCATTTTAGCACTTTTCTTGCCTCTGTCTTTTTCACCTCTTTTTCTAGAGATGGCTTTTCCCAACCTAGTCATAAAGTATGGAAGGCGTGGATTCATTTTTACTTAACAGAATAGCAGAGTTGGAAGGGACCTTGGAAGTATTCTAGTCCAACCCCCTGCCTAGGCAGGAAACCCTATATTACTTTAGACAAATGGTTATTCAACATCTTCTTTAAAACGTCCAGTGTTGGAGCATTCACAACTTTTGGAGGCAAGTTGTTCCACCGGTCAATTGTTCTAACTGTCAGAAAATTTCTCCTCAGTTCTGTTCCTCCTCTCCTTGATT